GCGGAAGGTCGCCGTTCTCGGCGCCGCCGGTGGCATCGGGCAACCTTTATCCCTCCTCATGAAGCTCAACCCTCTTGTCTCCCACCTCTCCCTCTACGATATCGCCGGAACTCCCGGCGTCGCCGCTGACGTCAGCCACATCAACACCAGATCTGAGGTACTAAAAACCCTCTCTTCATCGATCGGTTGTCTCCGATTGGATCATAAAGTTTGCAACTTTTTTATTAATTCGACGATTTGATTGATTGCGATGGTTAGGTCAAGGGTTACGCCGGTGAAGATCAGCTCGCTCAAGCCTTGGAGGGAGCCGACGTCGTAATCATACCCGCTGGTGTGCCCCGAAAGCCCGGCATGACCCGAGACGATCTCTTCAATATTAATGCCGGTATCGTCAAGGGTCTCACTGCCGCCATCGCCAAGTACTGCCCCAATGTGAGTATCCCTCTGTGCAATTCATTTCTACCATTTTTGTTTCCCAAAGAGTTGAGTTTTACTTTTATTATTTTTGTTTAATTTTGGTTGTTGGGTGATTGTTTTGGGTAGGCACTGATTAACATGATTAGCAACCCAGTCAACTCTACGGTCCCGATTGCGGCCGAGGTGTTGAAGAAAGCCGGGAAATACGACGAGAAGAGGTTGTTTGGTGTCACTACTCTTGATGTGGTCAGGGCTAAGACTTTCTATGCTGGCAAAGCCAATGTTAATGTTGCTGGTATGTACATTATTGACCCACTTTTATTCTGAAATCTCTTTCCTTTTGGTTATGTTTGTGTCATTTCTCTGTTTTTTCTTTCTGGGTTTTGTCAAAGATTGACATTCTCAACTTAGGTAGGTGTAATTAGCATTTCTACCTTTTTTTTAAAATGGGTTTTAGAAGCTCAGTTATAATGTAAGCCTTCATTTTGTTCAAGCAAATAAAGAAAATGTTTTTTGGTGTGTGCAGAGGTTAATGTACCAGTCGTTGGTGGCCATGCTGGCATCACCATTCTCCCACTATTTTCTCAGGTACATATCCCTCAAATTGTTTAATCTTTTGATTGAATTAGATTGTTTGAGTTTAATGGCAGTGCTGCTCCTGTGGAATGTGCTTTGGTTGGGTTTGGCATATAGTTGGCTAATTTTGTACTGCCTTTTTTGAATGTTTTAGGCTACCCCAACAGCAAATTTGCCTCATGATGTTATCAAGGCTTTGACAAAAAGAACGCAAGATGGAGGAACAGAAGTTGTGGAGGCTAAGGCTGGAAAGGGATCTGCAACATTGTCAATGGCGTAAGTGTTCGGATAAAACCATTGCATGCACACTTCGTTTTGTACTAGATGCTTTGATTTTGTATTTCCTCATGGAATGTGCCTATTTTCAATTAGAAATTCATATTTGCTCATGTACAAAATTATACACAAAAGTTTATGTGTTGAATGTTTCGTAATTGATTTTCTTGTCTGCATTAAGACGTTATGTTTCTGTTGCTGTTGAAAGGTGTTAATGCTTCTTCCCTCACATTGTTCACCCTTTTCATATTACTCCATTGGTTTCCATGTTTATTTTTTCGTTTTCAGTTGTAGGAATAAAGAAAAAGAAATTTACGTTTGTCTCGGACTAACTTGCCTATTATCTTGCAGCTATGCTGGAGCTCTTTTTGCTGATGCTTGTCTGAAGGGACTTAATGGGGTCCCCGATGTTGTGGAATGTTCGTTCGTGCAATCAAGCGTTACTGAACTTCCTTTCTTTGCTTCTAAGGTTAGTGAGATAAACCAAAGTTGGTTCTTTACTTTCGTTTTGCCTCAAGCTAGTTTTAATTCTTCCACATCGGTAATATGCCAAGACTTGGCTTTACTGCTTAGCGCTTCATTCCTGTTCAGCTTGAGTATTATTGTGCTACTTGGCATGTCTCCAAATGCCATTATTTTTGTAAACATGTAACAATGTCTGCCAAGTGTGCACCTTCCCTTTTGGTTATTGATGTCTTTTCAATATATGGTGATTTTAATATATACTTGTAACTAATTATTATTCGTTGATGGATGCGCCCTTCAATGTCTCAACCATTGCTGTTGCATGCAAGTATGTTACATGAGAGTTAAAAACTTGCACTGTCACACATACTCATGGACTGCTGGCAGTAAATAGATATAGCATATTTGGTCAGTTGAATATCTCCATAATGGTTCATCCGTACAATGCCCAGTTTTTAATCTTATGTACTATGTTTGTTCAGTTGATTATGGACACGATAATGCTAAATTTTTCTTTGCTGTTCATGTGATGAGTAATTTAGAGTCCTTTGATTGGTTTGCAGGTGAGGCTTGGAAGGAATGGTGTGGAGGAAGTTTTGGGGTTGGGTAATCTCTCAGACTTTGAAAAGGAAGGATTGGAAAGCCTAAAGCCTGAGCTCAAAGCATCTATTGAGAAGGGTATCCAGTTTGCCAACCAGAATTAGTGTAATGTATTATTAGTGCATTGGGGATGGAGGTTATCTACCCATCCTGATAGTAACCCTTCCAAATTTTGCATTTGTCCAAGTAGTGTTATATTTTTAGTGCTGCCAGCAGCACGGGCACCGGCTTTACTGTTTTTATTGGAGTAAGCTCTGATAGACAAAGGTTTTATCAATAATCCCCAGTGGCATGTGCGGGGCTATTTGAACTTGAATGAAAATGTTTCATTTATTCAAGGAATGGAAAGTTGATTACTGTTTAGTCATTGACTTGGATTATAGTTTGTGGCCGCCATCATCTGGCAATCAGTAGTATTCTCCTGATTCAAGGAAGATTTCCAGTCTTATCATTTCTATTCTCTGCATGTTACTTGGATGTTTTGAAAATAATGTTATTGGATGATAACCTAGAACCTTTATGCCCCATGTAATTTTCGTAAAGTAACCTTGTTTGGATGATTGCAAAGTGATTTGAAGAAAATGCTAGCAAATTTGCTGTTCAGATCTGCTGTTGGCCGCTATGCTGTGGGCCAGACAACTTCTTGAAATAGATTGATGAAACGGTTTGATGATTTGGGGTGGGCGTGGGTTTATTTCAGTCCACTACCCTTTAACCGCTGCTATTGTGTCGGTATACTGACCCAAACCAAGCTGATCGCTGTCGGTTTGGTATCTTTGATTTGTCGGTTCTACCATCGGAGCATGCATGCTGGTGAGAGTTGAGCAGATCTTGAGTAGTTGTCCGATGTTTTTGTCTTGTGATCCGGATGATTAAAAATGTAGTGAAGTTTTTATACTAATATAAGCATTTGGCTCCAAATGGATATGTTTGTATGATTTTTGACTTAGTTGGGTGATAGTCTCTGTCCATGCTCCAAATGCTAAAGGACAATGATCCATTGAACTTGGGGTTTGCACAGTTGCACGTGGAGTTTCCATCAGAGGCCGGCATTCTACAAAGCGAGCACAACTTCACGCAAAAGCGGACCCTCTTTTTGTTTATATTTTGTTGTGCAGAAGAGCAAGGTAAAAGATGATAAGGTACAAGCACAACCCAACCATATAAAATAAACGACTGGTTTTCCGTTTGAAACCAACCCTATGACAGTTTGTTTTTGGGTCCTAGAAATTAACATTAGGCAGAATATTTGAAGAGTTTTAAAAACCATAACTACAATCCATAACTCTAGCTCATTAGGCAGAGCATGTAACGATATGACCTTTGAATTCAACATGTGCAGGTGATCACAATAAACCTTCCCAGCAAAAGTTAAAATGGCAGCTCCTCTCTGTCCATGCTCCAAATGCTAAAGGACAATGATCCATTGAACTTGGGGTTTGCACAGTTGCACGCGGAGTTTCCATTAGAGGCCGGCATTCTACAAAGCGAGCACAACTTCACGCAAAAGCGGACCCTCTTTTTGTTTGTATTTTGTTGTGCAGAAGAGCAAGGTAAAAGATGATAAGGTACAAGCACAACCCAACCATATAAAATAAACGACTGGTTTTCCGTTTGAAACCAACCCTATGACAGTTTGTTTTTGGGTCCTAGAAATTAACATTAGGCAGAATATTTGAAGAGTTTTAAAAACCATAACTACAATCCATAACTCTAGCTCATTAGGCAGAGCATGTAACGATATGACCTTTGAATTCAACATGTGCAGGTGATCACAATAAACCTTCCCAGCAAAAGTTAAAATGGCAGCTCTGTTGAGTGAAAAAAGGTTTAAGCAACAAAAAAATAATTACTCTAATATATAATTTTGAGGTGGAAACGAGGAGCAACTAGTTTGCAGTTTGCACATTTGTCATAGAAACTGTTTCCTGCCATCATAATATAGTTTGGTTCTTTTACTTTTCATACAATTTGTTCATAAGGAACAAGCACTGCTAATTAAGTTTTCCACATCAATATACACCTTCGAAGAACTCTGATCAGGAGCAGCAGTAAGATGGACCACTTTGGATGCCTCATCTACACCAACCGTATCCCGGGCTGAACAAAGACTTCTAAAAAACTCTGATATGTCAAGAAGATGGGAAAAACTTATATCAGACGCCTTCCTAATTGAAGCAAAATAATTAGTGAATGACTGAATATCTCATGCATGTACAGAATCAGTCAATGGCATACACATGAGTTTAAGGAAACTACTGCAAACTTAATATGTTCATGAATCAGGACTAATAACATCATTTCACCCAAGTTGATAATACATAGTAACAAACTGCTGCAATTGCATATCCACTAAAATCCAACATTTTAAAGATTGCCACGGCATTAACAACCTCATAAATACTGTTCACAACATTTTATCATGCGATATTGGGTTTTGCATATGCATTTAAAGATGCACATAGCACACATGATATCTGTCTACAGTGTGAGACAAACTTACATTACAAGGGATTCATGTAATGCAAACTCAGAATCGGAGTATATTCACTAACATTTAGAGGTATTAACCATCTTTTAAAATGACTGTTAGAGAGGGGACTCTTAAGTATTGCTCTCAAACTAAACTATCAAGAGTTTTCCAGATACAGGAGTGTGCGCACACACACACACACACGCAAGGTGAAAGACTCACTGGATGCTAGAGTAATGATGGTATGCTGAAACACAGAATTGTGAAGAAGAAAACAGCTTCCCATAGGTCTCACAAAAAGTCAAGGGTAAACTGCTGTCAAGTCACCCCAAATTTTTCTAAACCTTCCAAGCATTTTAAGCACATATTCAACTTGGTCTCCCGGTAATTACAATGACCTGAATAAAATGCAAAACTTATAACGAGAACATGCACAAAGGTCTAAGGGCCAGTTTGGGATTGTTGTCACTTTTTTAAAAAGTTGTTTCTGTTGTACTTTGAAAATAATTAGCTGTAAAGTAAAGCAGCTCCATGTTTGGTAAACAATATTTTTAAAGTGCTGTTATAAGTAAAACAATTCATTAAAGGCTCATCTCTACTTCTTTGAAAAGCAGCTTTGAAACCAACCCAAAGCTTGCTTTTAAAAGCTGTTGTCAAAAGGCCACTGCTTTTAAAATAATCGGGATATTTTATGTTTACCAAACACCTTAAACTGCTTAACTTTAAAGTGAAATAGGTTTTTGGCGAAAAATAGCAATCCCAAACAGGGCCTAACTCTTCTGCCATGTATCTCTGCATTTAAGTCTTCAAAATCAGCCATTTATAGAGTGGAGAGAAAACAAAAGGAACAAACCATAATTGCTGCAATGACAAATGTCACACTTACAAGTTAACTTTTTATTAAATAAAAGATACTTTTCTAGTTTCCTTTTATGGGTTACCAAGATCAAAGAGGGCCAATTTTAAGCAATCATGGAACCCCAAAGATTGCATATTATCGTTGCCTAGTTATTGTCTATCTATGATTCAAAAGTTATTCAGTAGTCGACACACTGACTTTGACTCAAAAAAAGAAAAAAAGAACATTCATTAACAAAGATAATGCCACCTACCTCAACTAAATCAATTCAGGTCCTAGGTCAACGATTTGAATCTGATCCACATCCAGATGAACTATCATTGTCAGAATCTGCAAAGAATATAACACAATAAATATATTATTGACAATCTTAAACAGCACTGAGACCTTACGTGAACAATAACAGAAAAACACTGATAATTACCACTTGAAGAGGATCCCGATCCACTGCCAGAACTACTTGATCCACTCACATTATCTCCTTGCTCTTCTCTTCGAACTGGGGAAAATGCATTATTGTTGTTTTCAACTGCTAAATATGAAACTGGTTTAACTGACACAGTGCTAATAACTAGACTGTCATCAGATCCAACAGTCACCTCAATAGAAGTACCACTATGCTTACGTATTAAACTTATACCTGCTTTGGCTTCTTTTTCTGCCACTGTAGTGTATGTTGCCACATTCTGCAAAGATGATAAGTTTAAACATCATCTATTAGTGAGAAAAAATCAAAAGTAAGAAACAAGGCAGGGACTATTTATTGTCTTACTGTATCCTGGATGGCATGGCCAGGTTCTGCTATTGATTGAGGAGCAAGCTCTGTTCTTCTCTTATTTTTGCTCAAGCTTTTTCTGTAATTAGTCACGAACCTATCCAGTTCCCAAAGCGTTTCAGGATCAACACTTTCAATGTCCACCTCAATCTCATCCTCATGCTGACAAAGCCCTAGATTCCTCTTTTTAATAATCTGGACAATGGTATCTAGTTTCTCAGAAGGCAAAGTCTGAAGGTTTGTGCTGAGCCTCTGCTTCTCCGCATAAGTCATATCCCTTTTGTTGGGGTCCCTGGCTTTTGGCTTCTTCGGAACTGGTGGTCGACCTGGATGACCAGAACTGACAGGTTTCAACTTGGGATCAACAGGCTTTGTCGTAGATTCTGCTCTATCTAGACTCCTCATCTCTAATGGCAAAGGAGGAGCAGCCGCAGGAGCTTGAATTTTTCTTGAAACAGGTGGTGGCAAATTTGAATCATTCCCTATTTCATTTCTCCTATTAAGATTATACTCGGCCTCTATAGCCACCCATTGATCTTCAAACATTTTCAACAATTGCTCCGCCATAAGATGAGCATCCTGCTCTTTCGGGTTATACAACATTGCATTATTAAATGTAAGTCTCACCTCCTCTGCAAATTCCACAGGAGTCTTATACCAATTCTCGTTCAGCCTAGTCTTCACCGTGCCCAAATCCATCGGTTTCTTAATAATCGTATTGTAATCGTGAAGCCCAAGTGCCTTCACATCTACAGGCTTCTTAAACACCCAGCCAAACTTATGCTTAATCAACTTGTCAAGCAACGTACTACAACTCTTGAACAATGGACTCGGATTCTTACCTTTCCTGAACCAAGGCTCAACTCTACCCTCATCTATTGTCCTTCCATTGGATTTCAACTTCTTGCTACTCCCTAAAGGTGGTAACTTCTCCTTCCCAATAGGAAACTCTGAATTCCTAGAACATTGATTTGCCTTCCACGTCCTCTTCTGCTTCTCCATATACTGACCAGCTCCACCATCATCCTCCGCCCCCGAAACACTCAACCCCCGATATGGCCCCGAATCACGGAGTCCTACAGAACCCACCTCCGAATTGACCCTCATTGTAGTTTTAGTTTTAACATTATCTATCACATCATCAGCTGAAAACTGTGACTGAACATACCTCTCACTAAGCTCAGCCTCCTTAGCTTCAAGATTCTTTACCAAGCACCTGACTTGTTCAAGCTCACTCATCAGCTTCCACTTAATCTCTCT